TGTATAGGGACTCTTCGAATCAACAAGATAGCCCTCAGCTGGATATTTATATTTTCCCATTAAGTGTTAGTCCCAGTAGGACACGTCTGGCAGGAATGAATTCAAAGAACAGCCCAACATGTTCTGAAAAATCCTGATATGAAATCAATTGCAAAACAGTCGGCATGAAAGGGAGGAAAGAGCTGGATTTCAAAAAAAAGGGGGTGGGGGGAGGGCTGAAATTGGATAAACAAGATCTACGTGGTGAAGAAACACACCCTGCTCCTGCTGGCTGTGCTGCCGCGACTGCAAAAATAAAAATGCTGTATGAAGAAGAAATCAGAAGAAAAGCAATGCAACTGATCCACCTTGTTCAGCCTAAGCTACATAGCTTCAGCCAGTGGAGAAACAAACTTTTCCTGGCTGGAAGGACAATGCCAGACATTCAGCCTGCTTAGCAAAGGGGAAAACCCTGGCCTCCCTGCAGAGGGGAACCAGACTGCTGCTGTCCTGCTGAACTGGGGCAGAGTGACAGTGCGGCATGTCTACATGTTCAATTAATGCACTTTAGGTAATGCGCATTAAATCTAATACCTCCACTATGAGCTACTAAAAAAACAAACAGCAACCTATTTTAATGTGCATTAGCTAAAGAGCACAGGGGTTTTTTGTGACGCTTTAATGTACATTAAAATAAGCTAATGCGCATTACAGTGCACGTGTAGACGTGCCCAGGGAGGTATACCCCTGTGCACTCCTCCGAGACACGTCCTGCAGTGGGAGCAGCCCCGGTGGCGTGGGGATAATGGGTGTGTTTGTCACCGCAGGCAGGGTCCCCTGCACAAGGTCACAGGTGCCAACAGGCACAGTCCCTATGTGACAGCCCAGGAGATGCGTCAGGGACCCGCGCAGGCATGGGAAGCCACCTCCCAGCTCTCAGCATCTCAACAGCAACGTGACTTCATCGTCTGCACCACAAGTCAGTGTTTGGCCTCCAGTAACTTCAGCTGCAGAGCTGACACAAGGTTTGGCTTTGGGGTTTTTTTCTCCCTTTGCAGCGGGGAAGTTGTTTACAGCTGGGAGGTGGACACCATTACACAATGCTGTGGTCCTGGCCAGACATGTAGGGAGAAGTTGTTCTTTCAGGGTTTACTGCTGTTTCTTTTCCTTTTTTTTGTTCTTTTAAGAATTTTAAAAGGAAAAAAGTTGATGCAAACAAAGTGCTACAAGGAGGAGGGCTGTGTCCAGTTTTGCACCCTCCACTATAGAAAGGATGTGGACAAGATGGAGAGTTGGGCTTTGAATGCATAGAATAGAAACCCATAACTGGGGTCTTCCCAAGTTCTTTGCAACATAAAAACTGTCCTATGATTTTTCTGAGCCAACAAAAGGTGGGAACTAAGAGCTGGCATTTTCCAAGAGGTGCCTTGAGTCTATGCAGGGGTGCCTCGAGTCTAGAAAGGTTGAGAAGCAGTGAAAAGGGTTAATTGAGTCCACACTTACACTGGACCACAGCAAACATTGTGGGTTTTTTCTGCCACGGTCTAGACAAGACTTGGCAAGGCAGAATGGGCCCATTGTTAAGGGCACTTTGAAGGGGAAAAAGAGCAGGGAACCCAAACCCTGGAGAACAACTGAGGCAAGAAGGAAGCAAACAAATACAAAAAGAAACCAAAAGCAGAGGTGAAAACGCATAAAGAAAGGTGGACATTTGAGCAGAACAGAGAGGTATTTTAAAAAAAGGCATGATTGAAAACTAGAGGATTCCTATACAGAGACTAAGGAAAATAACTGAAATTATTAAAAAGTTGGATAAAAATAAATAAATAAACAAAGACAAGGGGATGTGTCACCAGTTACTCAGTTAACAAGACTCTGAGCAGCAGTCTAGTCATCGTGGAGTCTTAAGCAAAATAATCAGATTTCCCGTTGCCAATCACTGGCTGCCAAAGATATGGTAATCAGCCCCTGGAGGTCCAGCCAGCTTTCAGCGGGTCCCGGATAGCAGAGGATTAATGACCGCGCGGGAATCTGAACATGGATCCGCACCGAAGCACGCACCCCCGCCTCCTCCAGCACCAGTGGACATGTTAGTCAGCAAGGGTTATTCGTGTCCCTGGGGGTCTGCGTAAGGCACGCCAGCTATAATGCAATCTGGTTTCTCCACCAAATGCAGGGAGGATGGGGAGCAGAGAGATTCCCTGGGCAGAGGAGACAGCTCGATTGAAAATCCTGCCCATGAACATCTCCCTGCAAAGCACAGACGAGCCCGTATGGAGAGGCAGCAAGCAGCGGTGCTGGGCTGCACGGTGGGTTGGACACAGGTTTCAAAGGTGCATCAACAGCATTCCCCACTCAGTCCTCAGGAGTGAGAAAAGCTGAATCCCAAACTGGAGCCTGGGTCTTGGTTTACAGCTGGGCTGATTTATTCTGCAGAAGAGAAGACCGAGGGGGATTGAATAGCAGCCTTCACCTCCCTGCTGGGGGGCTGCAAAGAGCATGGAGCTGGGCTGGTCTCAGTGGGGGCAGATGACAGGACAAGGAGCAATGGGCTCAGGCTGTAGCAAGGGAAGTTGAGGTTGGATATTAGGAGAAAACTTTCTCCCTAGGAAGGCAGTAAAGTGCTGGACCAGGTTACCTAGAGAGGTGGTGCAACCTCCATCCTTGGAGGTTTTTAAAGCCCATCTAGACAGCCTTGCCTGGGATGATGTAGTTGGGGCTGGTCCTGCTTGGAGCTTAGATGTGACCTCCTGAGGTCCCTTTAACCCTCATTTTCTCTGATTTCAGGATGCTTGGAGTGGGGGTTAGCCTGAAAGGTCCCTAATAAAGCAGAAGATAAACCCATCACACCACCACTGGGGTGCTCATCTCCTCCAGGGAAGATGTCCTGTGCTGGCTTGGCCTTGCTCCTTGCTCTCACACCAAAGACGACTCACACCCAGGGCGCTAAAAAAACATTTGGTTCATCACACCACATATTCATGAAGCCTCCGAGCTCCCTGCGGGATGTACTAGCTACCTTTTATATGCATGGGAGGACACAGCCTCTTTGCACGAAAGAACTTAGACCTGCCAGCGACAGCAACCGCCTGTTGACGAGTCCCGTGGAAGGGGACGCCTGCGGCCACTGCCGCCCCCAGCCTGGAGCACTGGGGCAAGGCTGAGCCGGGCCTCGGAGAGCCATGGCAGCAGGCACCGCATCTGTTTTTCCTCAAATGAGAAGCAGATTGTGCAGGCCTTATCTCCAGGCGCGAGGCTGTCAGGAGCGTTGCACTGCAGCATGCATTCCACGCGGCCCAGAGCATCCATCATCCTGGCGGGCGCTGGCACGCTGCCCGAATCCGGTTCAGGCTGTACAACATGCCTGCAGATAACATGCCAACAGGACCCTCGGGGCACGGGGGCCCGAGCGAGCGAGCGAGATGCATGCACCAGTGGAAAGCAGGTGTCGGGAAGTCTCCAGGATGGGCCTATTTCGCATTAGCTTCCCATCGGTTTGCTATCAGCACAGGCACCACGGTCCCTCCCAAAGAGGGGTCTGTACTGTGCGCCGCCCCTGCCCTTGCTTGTGGGCTGGGAGATTCAGGTTGTAGCTAGCAAAAGATTGCTATTTAAGCAAGGTCTGCTCAGCACAAAGGTGTCCTGGCTTCCTCCCTCCAGCTATCGCTGCTTTCCGGGCTCGGGGAGCGATGCAGAAAATGCAGCGTGCTACACCACTCTCGATAGCTCGGCTGCACTGTTTGCTGGGGGCAGGCGCTAGCGGGCGAACAACAGTCGCCTCGCACGTGTTCAGGGTCGGTGAACGAGACCCATCCTGCGTCAAGTCTCCCTGCTCGTTTGTGCTGCCACCGTGCACGCACTGGGTCCGCTGCGATGTTTGCAAGCAACCATGTGGATGCACTAGCATCCTCTCAGCTTTGCACAACTCGCTGCCCTGCCCAGGGGATTGCCTTTCCCTGCACTTTCTCACTGCAACGCCGGTGGAGAAAGGAAATGGGTGGCGTGGTGACAGCTTTGCCGGCAGCCTCCCACCTCTCTTGCACTAGCCTTCCAGGAACACTTCAGGCCTGTCCTCTGACTCTCCCCTCATGCCCCTGCCCTGCTCGGCAGGCCCCAAAACTGCCCCAGTGCACCGAGTTGAGGGCTTCAGGGTGGGGGCTGCAACTGGGAAGTGGTGGGTGAGCAGGGGGCCCCCTCTCTGAGCCCGCCCTTGGCTGAGCATGCACTCATAAGGACATCAGCAGCGCCAGCCTGGGTCAGACCAGTGCTCCATCCAGCCCAGTCCCGTCCCCAGCAGTGGCAGGAGTGGATGCTATAGCGAGGGCACTGGACTAGAGATATGCCCTATTCGTGACCCTCCCCGCACCTGCCATCATTCATTTAGAGATGCCAGAGGAAACATCTCCAAACATTCCCCTCAGCAGCTCTTAATGAATCTATCATCCACAAATTTGTCCCATCCCACCTTGCACCTGGCAATGCTGTTGGCTTCCCCCACCTCCTGTGGCAATGAGTTCCACAAGTTAACAACGCGTCGAGTAAAAATAGCCCCTTCCCTTTTTAGTTTCAAACCTATCGCCTGCTCGTTACAGCAGCTGCCCCCCGGTCCTGGTGTTGCGGGACTTGGTGAACAACAGCTCCCTGGTCGCTTGGTCTGCACCCTTCATGATTTTATGGACCTCTGTGCTATCCCTCCCTCTTTCCAAACTGACAAGTCCGGGTCTTTTTAGTCTCCTGATCTGGCAACTGCTCACTCGGGATGCCCTTCTCCACGCCCTTCCTAATCCTACTACTTGCTTTCTGAGACGCAGGGGCCAGAGCTGCACAACGCTGACTCCCCTTCCCGCTCCCCGTCCGCGTCCCTCCCACTCCTGCACGGCTTAAGCAGCTTGTGCCAGCCTAAGACCTTTATCCACGTTGGTCTGCAGTGGACGTCAGCAGCTCAAATTAACCCCACTCGCATTAAAAGCCCAGGCTGATGACCTTGGCGGTGTCGGTGGTGCCCAGGAGGGTCACGGCGCTTCCTTCCCCGCCAACGGCAGAACATTATTAGACGCGGTGTTTGGTTTACGCCGGGACATGCTCTTCCTTACAGTTTCCGTGCTCACTTACATGGCTGATATCGTGCCGGCGTGGAACGGCTCTGCTGCGTGCCCTCGCGTCTGCAGATGCTCAGCCCGGGATACCGTACTCTGCGACAGAGCTGGCCTGAGAGCTCTCCCGGGAGAAATAGCAACCTCCACCCGTGCTTTAAGCCTTTCAAGTAACTTTTTAAGGGTGCTCACCGCCGGTATGTTCAGGAACCTGACTGCCCTTCGCAGCCTCTGGCTAGACGGCAATAACCTGACCTTCCTGCACCCAGGGACCTTTAGCGCGCTGAGCAGCTTGCGGCAGCTGGACCTTCGCAGGAACTCAAGGCTGACGTCCCTGCACGCTAATGCTTTCAGAGGACTCTTGAACCTCGCCAGCTTGGATTTATCCTTCTGCAACATCTTTGAAATCCACCCGCTGGTGTTTTCACACCTGCCCTCCTTGGAAGCGCTGGACCTCGGCTCCAATAACATGCGTTACATCCCAGAAGCCTTCAGGAGCTTATCCAGCATCGCCAGGCTCAGTCTGGCAAGCAACCACATCGAAGCCATAGGCCGAGACTCCCTGAAGGACCTGAAAACCCTCTACGAATTGAACCTCCGCAAGAACCCCATATGGATCATCCAAAGGGACGCGTTTACGGCGCTGAGCGGGCTGGGCGTGCTAAATTTAGGACACAACCTTCTCTCTGATTTGCCTAATCAGCTTTTCAAAGGTTTGATCCAGCTCAAGACGCTGCACCTGGAAGCCAACAGGATCGCCAGGGTCGGCTGCTCCTTTAGCGGCCTGCGGAGCCTGCGGACGCTGTACCTCAACAACAACTGCATCTCCCACATCGCAGGCTCGGCTTTCTCCCACCTCAAGCAGCTGCATTTCCTCCACTTGAGCAAGAACAACTTAAGTTACCTTCCCAGTCCCGTGTTTTCCGGGCAGGCGAAGCTGAGATACGTCTTTCTGTCTCACAACCCCTGGCATTGCGACTGCAAAATGCTTTGGTTCCCGCAGTGGAGAGCGACGTACAAAGGGCGGATGGAGGGGCTCCACTGCGCCTTTCCAGCCCTCCACAACGGGACCCTGCTGCACTTCACTGGTCACGAGAAATTAACTGGTTGCCTGTCATCACCGGGGCCGGCAGAAGATAGCGTGTGTACGGACAGCAACGCCAGCACTGCTTCTCGCCCGTCGGCCGTTTCTGACGCCCTGCTGCCGGTCCTGCTCGCTTGGTGCCGATGGCACTGGGTAAGGATGTAGGACACATTCACCTGCCTCGATGCTGCCTTTCACCTGCAAGATAAAAAAAAAAACAACTTCAAAATGTGATTTTTTGTGCCGCTGCTTATTCTGCAATAATCTGTCCCTGTGGCTACAGTTGCAGGGGTTATTTTTAGATGGATATGCCGTTTTTATTGATGAGCACCGTTTAGTTTTATAATGCCCTAATGGGATGACTGAAATCCTGACTGCGGTGCCTGCGTTATAAGGATGTTTAACAGCAGCCTTTCCTGCTTGGGCCAGGGTGCGTTAGCAGGGAGGAAGCCTGCCCTTGAGATCTCTCACCTTTTTGCCCATTTCTTTTTGGCATCCGAGTGGAAGTTGAACTTTGGGGGCTGTTCCCTATACATAGAAAGGCTTTAGTGTCTGCATGAGCTGCTGTGAGATGCAAACCTACGATGTGAGAATGGCTTTTATGTTAACCTGCACAGGTATTTCCCCAGCTGTCGCCCTTCGATGGCTTTTTTGAGGTGTCCTGACGATAGGAGCTGCTGTCTCTGTTCTCTAGAGCTGTGGTTCTCAACCTTTTTTGGCTTTGGAAAATACCAGCTCTTAGTTTTTCACTCCTTTTTGCACAACAGAAAGACACTAGAGCAATTCTTCCCTTGCAAAGGACTCACCACAACAGGCCAGGATGTTTTTAATGCCATGGATTCCTGTTTGAAATCTCCTTGCTTGTACCTTATGAATCATGTTTGCGCACCTCACATGGTGCATTGGGTGTTGAAAGGATCTCGTAGCAGCCTGGTTGAGAATCGCCACCCTGGAGTTCAGATCACACAGGTTCATGCGAGTTTGCAGTGGGTAGGGCGCATATCCCCGCCTGCTGAGATGATGCTTAATATGTTTGGGCATGCAAATAAATCATAAATCATCCCCACCCATCTGAAAGCCTTGCAAGAGCCGTTCCAGTCAGGTAGCAGCTACTTAAATGGCCAAGTGGGCAGGTATCGCCCTTCGCTGGTCCTCACTGGACAGGAGGCAGCAAAACATAGGTCTGCAAAGAGAATTTGAAAAAGAAACTGTGGGACTAACGGAGAGCGCGTGCGGCTGCCACGCATCGCATAACCCAGCAGATTCCAGCTCGCTGCTATTTCTCACGATGCCTGACATATTTTATTGACACGCGGCCTCTATTTTAATGCTTGCGAATAGCCCCTTTTGCCCAGGGGGCATGCACTATAAGCCATATTTGTCTCGCTATCTTTTTTTTTCAATAAATATGATGCACAGTGTCGCTTCAGCTCCCTTATTCTCCAGCCTCTGGGAGTTTCCGCAAGTTGTAGAGGATGCCTCAAGGCTCCTCCAGCACAGGTTTTTCTGCTCGCTCTTCCCTCCCCTGCCCACAAATTGGTCTCATCCATCTTCCCCCAAAAGAATTTTTGGCAGACGTGGGTGTAGAAAAACAACAGAGCCCAAATCCCATCGCTGGCTCGTTGGCGCCGCGTTTCAGAGCCCCGATGTCCTCAAAAAACCACCGCTGAACATGAGAGTAAGTGCACGGCCAGGAAATAAACGTGATTGAGGAGCAGAAAACAAGTTGTAGCCGACCTAGTGATTGGATGTGGGCTTGTTTTTAATCTTTATCTGTGCCTGTCCTCCTCTGAGCTGCGTGCATGACTGGCTGCTTTGATTTACTGACTTTCTACTTGGAATTGCCCCTTGCAAAGTGGCTTCAAACATCCCACTGATGTTTCTTTACCATTGGCAAGCTCCCACCATCCGACAGGAGGCTGCTTTCCATGGAGAAATGAGCAGGACCTTGGTAAACAACACTGGAGGATGAAGCGGGTCCTGGCTGGAAGGCAGATCCTCCCTGCAGCTGGAGCGAAGTAGCTAGCAATAGCAGGCGTCCCACTCCCTTGGGACCCTGCTTTCAAGCTGCTGCGGGCCAAAAACATAGCATCCCCGGGACTGTCCACAGATGTAACGCTAGCATCCTAGCTACAGCCCTACCGCTAACCGCAGCTTCTCAGCAGGGATGCAGCACACAAACACAGGGTTAGGAGGGTCTTCGCCTCTATCCCCTTGCACAGGTGCAAGCTACAGCTCCTGCAGTGCTGCAGAGAGATGTGGATTCAGCCTCCACTGCCGTCACAACCTGGGAGGTCACTCAGCCCAGCAGAAGACACCTTGTAAGTGCCCAGGGTGAGAAGCAGATGTTTTCCCAACAGGCTTTTTTGAACAGCGCTTCACTGGTGTTGTACCGGGCAGAGAAGCGAGGTGTTTCCTGCTTCCCAAAGCTTTCCCAGGGGGCTGGAAGTGGAGGAGGATGCCTTAATCTGAGTGCTTTGTACCCTAACCCTTAGCCTCGGTACTGGGAAAGGATGAAGGCAGATGTCACTCACCTCATTTCAGCTGGAGCTGGCCAAGGCACAGTTTTCCTGTCTCTGGAGTTTGAGATAGTAAAATTTTGCTCCTGATTGGAGCAAAAAGCCAACAGCTCAGAAATGGGCATGGGGCAATGCTCAGAAATGGGCATGGGGCAATGCTCTGACCACCCCGTGGGGAGGGAAGGAGTCGATGGGGACGTGCTGTTTAGCTAGTTGTAAGGTGCGCTGCTCCCATGCTGAAGGTTTCAGATGCCGGCTTCTTCCGCAGCAATTGAGATTTCAACACAGCAGCTGCTTTCAGTGGGGAAAAAGTGAAACTTTCCAAAACACCTCTGGATCAGGAGAGTGGTCAAAGCTGCCCCATCACGAACTGGAGCTTTCCCAGCAGCAGAAACCTCGTGGAGGGATTCCCAACCAACTTTGACTTAACGAAGGTCTCTCATTTATCCACCTCTTACACCCGGGCTTATGCTCCTAGACCCTGCCAGGTGACAGACTCTTGTCTTTTTTAACCTTGAGGTTTCTGGCTTTTTGAGGTGGGTTATTTCACAGGGAATTATTCTGCCCCTAGACCAGGCCTCTCTGGCCCCCCAGTCCCCACCAAACAGGTTCGTAGAGCCCAGGCTTTCCCCACGGATAGAAATGCAGCCTTTAGATGCAAAGATCAGGCGGTTCAGCGTCCCAAGAGAGCACAAGGCTGGTGTCTGCGTTGAGATAACAGCACTGTGCCCGTGATGGCAAGAAGGCTAAGGGCATCCTGGGCTGCATCGGCAGGAGCATTGCCGGCAGATCAAGGGAGGTGATTTTTCCCTCTATTCAGCACTGGGGAGGCCACATCTGGAGTCCTGTGTCCAGCTGTGAGCCCCCCAGTAGAGAAAGGATTGAAGGGAGAGTCCAGTGCAGGGCAATGAAGATGATTCAAAAACTGGGGCATATGGGTTGTGAGGAGAGGCCGAGGGAACTGGGCTGATTTAGTCTGGAGAAGAGAAGACCGAGGCGGGCCTGAATAGCAGCCTTCACCTCCCTGCAGGGGGGCTGCAAAGTGGATGGAGCTGGACTGGTCTCAGTGGGGGCAGATGGCAGGACAAGTTGCAGCAAGGGAAGTTGAGGTCGGATATTAGGAAAATCTCTCTCATTAGGAGGGTAGCAAAGAAGTGGAACAGGTTACCCAGAGAGGTGGTGGAAATCTCCATCCTCGGAGGTGTTGAAGCCCCGGCTAGACAAAGCCATGGCTGGGATGATGCAGTTGGGGCTGGTCCTGCTTGGAGCAGGGCTTGGACTAGACGCGACTCCTGAGGTCCCTCCAACAGTCTAGAAACCAACACCTCCCCTCTCCAGCTTGCAGAGGAGTTGGTGCAGCAACTGAAGCCCTACCCGGACTCAGCACACTCCTGGCCCTTTCTACACACACGATAACGCCGTCAGCTTCCCTGTCCCAAAATATGTGCCGCGTGAGGGGGCTTCGATCGCAGCCCTGGTCAAGGGCAGAGAACCAACACCCTGGGCCGGGGGAGAAGATCTGTGGACAGGCTGAGGGATTTCTGCCAGCAAACCCCACCCCCCCTCCAAATTCACCCGCATTATCTCACTTCCCACATATTTCTCGGCCTCCTCGATAAGGCAAAGGCTGCAAGCTTAGCTGTCAAAGGGACAGAGGAATGTGCTGAGCGTGCACGGGGGGAGTGACCGGGGAGGCCTCAGCCCGGGGTCGGGGGCACACTTGTGACCAGAGCTCACGCAGCCACACGGTGCTGGAGGTTACCAGCTGGCGCGGAGCGAGCTCGGCACGGTGCCGTGCAAAGTGCCCTGGCAGCAAGAGGCCCATTAGAGAGCACTGGGCTGCCTTATATTTAGACGTCCAAGATACTCGACTCATTTTCCAACAGGATTCCTCAGATCTTTGCAACCAAACACTGTTTCTCCCATAGGATCTCATTGAACCAGAAAAAAGTTTTAGCATGAAACTTTTTATGGGGGGGGGGGATGGAGGGGAGAAACCCCATGTACCTTGGAGGCTCAGCTGACCAATTAAACAATTGACCAAAAACACATCATTGGAAATGAATAAAGCTTAGTTTAGTTCAAATCAATGCAAACAAAAGAACCCTCTTAGCAAAAGAAAATTGTCAGCTTTTATATTTGTGATTTTAATACTTTATAAAATTTAAGATCTGTTTTATATTAATTTTATATTTTGATTCTCTATACATGCATGCAGGCATGCATACACACATATATACATGTATGTGTATATGCATGTATGTTATCTTGCATCCCATATATTTATTTATATATGCGTATGCGTATGCGTGTGCATGCAGGTGCGTATATATACTACCAAAAGCAGCCTTCCAAAAAAAAGTTAGGATTTTCTAACACAAATTTAGAAAATATATTACAAAAAACTAAACTTTTTTGAAGCTTTTAGGGTTGTTTTTTTGGGGGGTGGGGGTGGGTTTGAAGGCTGGTTTGGGTAGAATATTTTTCCACCCAAGCCTTTCCTGCAGAAACTCTGCTCTGAGAAATGTTTCCTCTGTTCATTAGAGAACAATGGGACTGCTCTTCGGGCCGTGGGGCCGATTGTGCCTCCCTTGCTGCTCCCGTATCCTGCAAGCAGGAGCGCTGGGCGCCCCGGCGAGGGCTGGA